CATATTTAAGCCCTAATAAAAAGCTATAAGAAGAAAATGAAAAAGAAAAAAAATGAAGAGCCCAGAATCTCTAGTCTCTTTCTTCCCTGTTTCTCTCTCTTTCAGCCCCTGTCCTCTCTTCCTTTGTTTCCAAGTCAACTCTGTCTCTATGACTAATAGCTGGGAAAAATATGCAACAGATATGGTGAGGGGCTTCAATTCTTGACAAGAATATCCAAAAGTTTGAAATCTCATAGTTATTCATATTGATAGTCTTTATATTTGGATCTGGTACTGAGAGAAAGGAAGAGAGAAGAAGAGAAAGGGAGAAAAATTTGACCTGCGGCGAGGCGAACAAGAGTTGTTGCCGGCGGATGCGGTGGTGATTTTGGTTAATGCTGGCTAATGAGTTTTTGGCTTTTTTCTCCATCTTCAGTTTTTGTTTAAATTTTAAAGGATGAAGTGTAAATTTAGTCCTTGAATTATTAGGGTTTAGGGTTTCTGAATTAATTTTTTAATAAAATAAGCCCTTAAATTCACCAAAATTGCTAATTTCATCTATATTATTATATACAAAGCTATTTTATTCAATTTTTCGTCAACTTAAATCACTGAACACACTTTAGAGTGTAATACCATTTCTTTTCTTGCCGATGAGGCCTTAACATTTCATATAGGTTGTGAATTTAACGTTTAATTTACACTCCAAAGTTAACTTCATACCCTATTTCTTTATGTAAAATTACCAATTTATCCTCCAATGTGTATCATATGCAAGTAATGTGACTTAAATTGACAAAAAATTGAATATAGCAGCTTCGAGTATAATATTAGGGATGTAATTGACATATTTTTATAATTCAATGACTGATTTTTCTAAAAAAATAGTTTAGGATCTAATTTTCACTCGGATGATAATCAATGACTAAATTGACAGTTTAGCTAATTTTAAAATAGAGATATTTTAGGAATAAGAGTGGGTGAGAACTAGAGGATTTGGTTTTTTGCATTTTTTATGGTGGGCGGTGATATAGGGTGGGTGGAAGAATAAGGCAAAGGAATTGGGTCTAGCAACTCTTAAAAAAAATTCTGTAAATAACAAATCTACCCTGGGATAATAATTGAATGACCAGTTCTTGAGATTTGCTGTGTTTTCACAAAAGGTCCTCAAGTTCTGTAACAACTCAATTTTCTGGCTCCCACACCCTTCATTCTCATTCTGCAATAACGTTTTCTTTGCTCACATGCATAGCATGATAGCATGTGTGGTATTACAATTGGATGAACAAATAGCACTTTAAATTTTAGAAATACTGATTAAGTTTGTTTAACTGTTTGTCTTAACAGATTAATTTACTCACTACATATTTCTGATTGGGGTTTTGTTGTAGAGACGGGGTTGGAGAAGGAAACAGTGAAGGGGTACGCGCAGAAAGCGAGCCAAAAGGATGACGAGGTGCTGTATGAGACTACTTTCACCATCCCAGCAGAGTTTGGAGAGGTTGGGGCTGTTCAGGTAGAGAATGAACACCACAAGGAGATGTTCATCAAGAGCATCGACCTCGACGGCTTCCCGAATGGCACTGTTAATGTTCCCTGTAATTCCTGGGTTCATTCCAAATTTGACAACCCAGTGAAGAGAATTTTTTTCAGTAACAAGGTCCTTTATTTTAGATCCTTACACATTTTCCTTGCTTTTTCATTATTGTTATACAAACATATGTACTCAGCTTCTTACTGATAGTTCAATTTGCTAACTAAATGGACTCCAAATTGGAATAGTACTGATATATATTGGCACTCCTCATCCTAAGCTTTATTTTAGCCTTTCCGGCTTGACTGTTGCTATTTTGCAGTCCTATTAAGATTCATGTCTTGCATATGTCGTTGATGTATTGTTGAAGTTTTTTTTTAATCAATGTCGCTTTGTTCAACAAGGAAAAAAGTGCTCGCTTTCTTACCTTCTTTCCTTAAGTTACCATATGTGTTGACTGGTTCTATCTGACAGTGTTTCATACAATATCATTTGATATTGTAATTTGTGTTAACATGTAATGAAGCAGTCGTACATACCATCAGAGACACCAAGTGGGTTGAAGAAGCTAAGAGAATCGGAGCTGCAGAATTTGCGAGGAGATGGAGAGGGCCAAAGAAAAACATCTGATAGGATATACGATTATGACACTTATAATGACCTTGGCGATCCGGACAGCGAAGATGAACTGGCTAGGCCTGTCCTAGGCCGCAAAGATCACCCGTACCCAAGGCGCTGCAGAACTGGAAGACCACGCTCTAAAAAGGGTAATTATATAACCAACTAATTACATACTAATCCCTAAACTGGTTGTAAAATGTAGAAGCCATGTCATTTTCTACTCAATAGGTCATTGGTAAAGAAAACTTGCCTATCCCAGGTTCTAATGCTGCCTCTTCTTTCTTTCTCACTCGGAATATGAAGTCACGTCACGAGTGAAATAGGAAAAAGAGGGGTATCCAATTTTGCTCCCAAATTGGGCATATATGAATTTGTGTTGTATGCTTTTTGGTATGGAACCTATGTTAATGTTAAGGACAATGATTCTAACTATGAACCATTTGCTTCTACTGTGATAATTGCTCGAATTGCATGGCTGAGAGACTACAAGTGCAATGTGATCATTTTGTACCTATATTACAGATCCTTTATCAGAACAAAGAAGTAGCAGTGTGTATGTACCAAGAGATGAAGCGTTTTCAGAGGTGAAACAACTGACATTTTCGACAAAGACATTGAAATCTGTGCTACATGCGTTGCTCCCTTCGCTCGAGACAGCACTTATTGATCCAGACCTAGGATTTCCATACTTCACAGCCATAGATTCATTGTATAACGAAGGAGTCACGTTACCCAAGCCAAAGACTGGTGGGTTTTTCCATACAATCATCCCCAGGCTAGTCAAGACTATTACAGACAGCGGAGATGATCTTTTGCTCTTTGAGACCCCTGAAATAATAGACCGTATGCCTCCCTCCTTGTCTCTCTGTGTATAGATCGTAGTTGAGCAAAACTTTTTAAATAATGATACTCTTATGAGGAAAAGAAGAGACCACCAAATTGTTGGCTTCATCTCGTATATCACTTGTCTTTTATTGCAGGTGATAAATTTGCTTGGTTTAGAGATGAAGAATTTTCCAGGCAAACTCTAGCTGGTCTTAATCCATATAGTATCGAGCTCGTGACGGTATGCTTTCTTCATTAATTTACCGATACAAGCAGAACCCTTTCACATGAATTAAGACATTCAAATTTGTACTGTTCATTTCTCACCCCAGGCCTCCATCTTCCTTGGTGATCAAGTAATAAGTGTTAGAAGAATATCTTGTTTTAGTTTGTTAAACCCTCTTTTATTTTCTCCAGTGGCACTGAATTATATAATTTCTGGATGCAGGAATGGCCATTGAAAAGTAAACTTGACCCCGAGATCTATGGCCCCCCAGAATCATTGATCACAACAGAACTGGTTGAGAAGGAGATAAAAGGTTGTATGACAGTCAATGAGGTATAATAAGCACACACCAATCTCTTTAACTTGCAACCGAGTTGTTTTAGATTACCAATCTCTTTAACTGGTTGAAAATTGCTTGAACATGAAATGTAGGCTTTGGAAACAAAGAAGATGTTTATTTTGGATTACCATGATCTGCTCATGCCTTATGTGAACAAAGTAAGGGAGATTGAAGGTACCACACTGTATGGTTCTCGAACACTATTCTTCCTCACTGAGAGCGGGACACTGAGGCCTGTTGCAATTGAACTCACTCGGCCGCCTGTTGATGACAAGCCACAATGGAAGCAAGTCTTTACTCCAACTTGGGATGCCACCGGTTGCTGGTTGTGGAAGCTTGCTAAAGCCCACGTTCTTGCTCATGACGCTGGCTATCATCAGCTTGTCGTGCACTGGTAAGCAACTCGTACCCAAGGTGGGCTCAAATCCCTTTTTATATTGGCATTGAGTTACCAAATTAGTCCTGTAAATGGAATTTGAGTGACTCCGGAAACCACGAATGTGGAACTTCACATCATGCCCCCTGCTCATGTGTGCATATTAGGTTATTGTAGCTGTGCCAATCACGAAATATGAGACCAACTCATGGGTAATAACTTGTTTGTACCTTTATATTTTCGTAGGCTGAGGACTCATTGTAGTACAGAGCCATACATAATTGCAGCTAATCGACAATTAAGCGCAATGCATCCCATCTACAGACTTTTGCACCCTCATTTCCGGTATACAATGGAAATCAATGCTCTGGCTCGAGAAAGCCTCATCAATGCAGGTGGAATCATTGAGAGCACATTTTCACCTGGAAAGTACTCCATGGAGATCAGTTCTACTGCTTACGACCAGCTTTGGCGCTTTGACATGGAAGCTTTGCCAGCAGATCTCATCAGAAGGTATTTTAATTTATAAAACTAGTATAAGCCTAATCCAAACTATCTGATGCAGGAAACTTTGTACAAATAAGATCTTCAATACCTAAAAAGAAAAATCCACTCAAAACCCCCCGTGGAATTTGGACTGCTTGTTCATAATTGTTTGATTTGATTTCAGGGGAATGGCAATTGAGGATCCAACAGCTGAGCATGGCTTGAAGCTAACAATTGATGACTACCCATTTGCAAATGATGGCCTCATCCTGTGGGATGCCATTAAGGAGTGGGTGAGTGATTATGTGAACCACTACTACACAGACCCAAATCTTATTGAGTCTGATACCGAGCTTCAAGGTTGGTGGACAGAAGTTAGAACCAAAGGCCATGCAGACAAGAAAGATGAGCCATGGTGGCCTGTTTTGAAAACGCCAGAAAATCTGATTCACATTTTGACAACCATAATTTGGGTAACAGCAGGTCACCATGCAGCAGTGAACTTTGGCCAGTACACGTATGGTGGATATTTCCCTAATCGCCCTACAATTGCTCGAATGAACATGCCAACTGAAGATCCATCTGAGGAGTTCTTCCAGAACTTTATGAAGAAACCAGAAATGGCTCTGCTGATGTGCTTCCCTTCACAGATTCAAGCAACAAAAGTTATGGCCATCTTAGATGTACTATCGAATCATTCACCCGATGAGGAGTATATTGGTGGGAATCTAGAGTCATCTTGGGCTGAAAATCCTGTCATCAAGGCCGCATACGAGAGATTCAATGGCAATTTGAAGAGGCTAGAAGGCATCATTGATAAGAGGAATACCAATTTGAACTTGAAAAACAGAGTTGGAGCAGGTGTTGTTCCATATGAGCTTTTGAAGCCTTTCTCAACTCCCGGTGTCACAGGAATGGGAGTTCCAAATAGCATCTCCATCTAAATTTGAGGATGATGTTGTAAAAAATCTATATTTATTCTATTTCGCCCTTAATAAATCAATAATGCGGGGTAAAGTCTGATAGCATCTTGAAATTGTAGCATCAGACAACCCGCGGAGTGGAACAAGCAAACTGCTAATGGGACTAGAGATGTATGCCAGTCAATGAACAAAATAAAAACTGAATGGTAGAAAGAAGAATTGGACTTTCAGCAGAATAGTCTTTGCATAGAAGCTTCACTTATATTAGAGATAATTGATATCAGATTAATAGATAAGCTATAAGATTATATCATACAGCTATACTGGATATTCTAAGCCTTGGTTTTGGCCTTTACTCACCCTTGGTCTTGTTAGTGTATTTGATGTTTATGTACTGACAGATACAAGAAAATAAGATGAATGATCGAAACTGGAAAAAATTTCAGTTAGATTTCTGGAATTCTTCAGCCTCTGCAAGTAGCAGAGGAGTATTTCATTTATCTCTCTTGCACCTGAAATTGTGCAATTACAACAATTAGTTATGCAGCAGGAGCTCACACGTTCATCAAGTGATCTTAGCCATGCATCTTTCTATAGTCTAGGATTCTAACACATGACATTCATAGCCTTACAATAAGAGCTTTACATTCTAAGACCAAGTGAATACATAATTAATTTCAAGGCATATTATTTCTAACTAATCAGCTCCTAACTTACAATTCTACAGGTCACGGCTGGGATTTGAAGCAAACAAACGCATATTTACAGACTTACATGGTATTCCCTTTCTACATCCACATGGTGAGAAAATGTGTATATTTCAGTATGGGATAATGCTAAGAAGACCAAAGTTTTAAACTAAATGATGTCACCAATGGGAATTAAGCACGTTAATCGGCATTCAATTAATAATCTAATTATCAACAATCACATCATTTGTTTTACACAATTTGATTTCAAAATTTCGTCTCCCTAACTTTACCTTTTTTGCACCTAGCATTGGTGCCAAGTGTTTAAATAAAACAATTACATATGGCAATTCAGTGGCTTCAAACATCGAGGCTTGTGAAGGATCACTTTCCCCATGCTTATAAGAGAATTTCTTGTCCGTTAGGTCTTATTGGGTACTACAAATAATACTATCGTTCAACATAAGTGTTGATGTGAGACATAAAGTGTGTCTATAACAATTTATATAATAGAATCTCAACAAATCTTCAACTTACCTTGAACTCTCACCCATGATCTACATAAGAAATTCTCTCACTGCCTCCTGCAAAACGCCCCTGAAAGGACAATAAGGTGTGAACTGAGGTGGATTTTCACATAATTGATTTCATCTGCTAGCAGCTTACCTGAGAGAGAGATCTGTGAAGGTCTGCATGTGACAGTGCAATCCTATATCAGGTAAATATTTGCAAATTCTGCCATGTTATAATGTGGAGTGATCAAAGGTTAATAGGAAATGTTATGAAAAATTGCGTCTTTGATTTAGCGTTAAGGTCCAGAATATAACTCGTTTCTTTGTTTCAAAGTACAGAGATCATTACACGAAGGTGAAATTTCAATGAAAACTGAGGCTGGTGCAATTTCTGTATGCAGAACTGGAAAATATTTGACGTGAGCTTGTGAAATAGATAGATTATTACTCCAAATATACACACGCACGTTCTATAATATATAGATGTGGTACAATAAATAGACAAACTAAAATGTGGAAAATCTGTCCTAGAGGAATTCTTCCTGTAAAGAATTAAAGAATTAGGGGACCTTCTTTGCCTTCTGCTGGGTTTCTCATAAAAGTCCGAAAGTGAATCTAGGTGACCTTGAAGCTTCAGAGTTTTTCTCCTCACAGAACCTTATACTATATTGTCTTATAAACAGACATTTGTCTTGCCTCGCTTGAACGTACACAAAGGAAGCAGTGTGGAAGAAAAAAAGTCAGCAAACTCACAAACCGAGTGTGATGCATGCTGTTAAATTTCAGGTAGACGGGCCATGGGTCCATTCCAACAACACCGATATTGTCCCCACTTGGCCACCTGCTCAATCCGTCAGATGTGGGGTTTTATTGCACAAGGCTTTAGTGTTAGTTAGAGTGGGGTAATTTTACTTAAAGGGCTTGTTATCAAGCCTTCTGGCTGACGTGGAACAGATGAATTCTAACACTCCCCCCGCACGGGAGACCCAATTTTATGGGTCACACGTGAAGTTTCACACATCGGCAACCACATGGAGCCAAGCCGAGGCTCACCCGTTCGCGCGGGGCCAATGGGGACCCACCAATTCACGTGGCATCTCTTGGCCTACGTGGAGTCAAGTCGGGGCTCCCCCATTCGTGTGGGGTCAAAGGGGACCCACCCGTTCACGTTGCAGTACGAACCCGTCCCCTGGCTCTGATACCATGTTAAATTTTAGGTAGACGGGCCATGGGCGCACTCCAACAACACCAATACTGTCCCCACTTGGCCACTTACTCAATCCGTCAGGTGTGGGGTTTTATTGCCCAAGGTCTCAGTGTTAGTTAGAGTGGGGTAATTCTATTTAAAGGGCTTGTTCTCAAGCTTTCTAGCTGATATGGGACAGATGAATTCTAACACATGCTGAGGATGCTCTTAAATCCCCGATGATCCAAAGGACCATCATTGCCCTGGAGAACAACCACTTTTCAGAGGGCTCAAATTCAAGGAATTTGCTGAGATGTTCCAATTTTTTGATGAAATGGGTCCATTTCAGAGTAAACATCATGCTGGAAATCTTCAAAATTGACTCACATGTGCGGATGAGTATTAGTGGCATTGCATATACACTCTGGAATGGGATACTTTGTGACGTCTTTTCCAACTCTACTCCTCCTGATGTCTGGCTGTCCTAAGGAATCTCTGTGCAAAATATTTTCAGTAAGATGATTACGCACCACAAAAAACATGAGAACATATATGGTTTGCAGCGTACGTGAAATCTGATCAGAGTTTTGGCATCAAGAAGGCACATGCATCGAAGTGCAGTAAGCAAAAAGAAGCAGTTGCACTGCAAAAGTTCACAAAAAATACTTTAATAATCATGTTCCCTTTTTGTTTATATGAATGAACTTCCTAGCGAGCTCAGTTTTTCATCACTGCATTATATTTGAGTGGTCGACCTGATTGAAATATGATATATATTTAATTGAATGGTGTTATTTTATTGAATGAACTTCCGAACTAATCCGTTGAAACCATGGATGGTGGCTTGTTTAAAGCCGTACAAGGATTTATGTCGACTTCGAATCTTCGTAGAGCCTTAAATAAGTCCTTGGATAATAATCAACAATTAATGACAAATGTACATACATACAAATACACACACACACACACACATACATGCATACATACATACATACATACGAATGTGCTAATATACATACATGCTTACATACATACATACGAATATGCTAATAAATAATAAATTGAAGCTAAGTATTTGGCCGACTATGAATAAAAGAAACTATTATTAAACAAATAAAATAATGATCGAGGCTTACGTTTCATCAATGTCCTTTAAACAGAATTTCGTCCCTACTCTGTGCTTGTAATTCGATAGACGTCTGATTCACAAGGATTCGACGATCGAAGTCAAGATTCTAGTACCAGAAAACTTGACTACTGGCGAATATCTTTGTAGTTCTCTCAAGAAGATAGTATTTGGTAAAATTTGTAGGAAGAATGATTTCTAAGTTCTAAATGCAATGCAAATGGATGTATATATAATGTATATATGCTTGTTAGCAACATGTATGAATTTGGGATGCATCTTCTAGGAGGCATGTGCTCATAAGGGTGTGTTGCTCTTTATACTTTCTTTCATCGTCTCAGACTTCATCTCAAATGATGAGTCTATTGATTTAAAAAATAAACAATTAAATCTGAAATTAATAAAATAATTCATTATTGAATTTAATTTTAGAGGTTGAGCCTCAAGACCCATCTTTCCAATCACTTGGTAAGAGGAACAAAATGTTATAAAGTGTGAGAAGCTTTGTGGTGGTGAGCAGCTTTTCGTGGTGAGTAATGTGGGATAATGTGTCACATCCCAGCCCGGGCGGGACCACTTCCCGGGCCCGACTTCATCAGTTTTTCTATTAATTTCTCTATTAAATGCTGACGTGGCTAGAAACGGGGCCCACTCACTAATCCTACTGGATTAAAAAAAAATATTTTATTTTAATAATTAAATATTAAAAATTTTAAAAAAAAAATTAAAAAATAGCCTAAGGGATCCGGCCTTCCCTTTCCTCCACCGGCACCAACCCTTTTTCTTTTTCTCTTCGACAGCCACCAAACCCTTCCCCATCCCCCCAACCTTCCTCCACCACCCTCTCTCTCTCTTCTCTCTCTGGGATGCGGTCTCCCTTCTCCGTCCTTCTCCCCACTCGCACTCGTCCTTCCCTCATCACCACCTCCCAACTCAACCCATCCCTCCCTTAGTCCCTCCATACCCAACCTTCCTTCTAAGATGCATAGACACGGGTAACAGCCACCGTATCCCGTATCTGACACGCAGGGATACGGGATACGCATAGGATACGTGTGGATACGAGCCCGATACGTATCGGCATGAATGGATACGTTGTTTATTGATGAGATACGCGTATCATACTGTCGAGATACGCGTATCACACTTTTCGGATACGTTTTCAGCTAAATCAGAGGATAATCCAACTAAATCAGAGGATAATCAGAAGAAAAAAAAAATAAATAAATCAAGAAATCCGCACAGAATCGTGATTGATTCCAATTAGCTAAACTGAAACGATTGTTTGGCTAAAACCAAAACGATTTTGGGTATAAAATAATGATTTACCTATTTTTCTTCACTCAAACCTCAGAATTCATAAATCAGACTTGTCGTCTGCAACTGCTCCGTCGTATCCGTCCAACTGCTTCGTCGTCTCCGTCCAACTGCTTCGTCGTCTCCATAGTCTCCGTCTGCAACTGCTGGTAAGAGCTTTTGACTTCGTTTTCACTATGTTAATTTTGAAGCTCAATCTGATTCCCAGAAGCAGAACCCATCTCTGCAGCTGAAAGGAAAGCTTGCTTTCCTGTTTTTAATTTCGAAGCTAAAAGGCTTTTGAAGGTGAAAGGAAAGCTTGCTTTCCTGTATTTAATTTCGAAGCAAAAGCGCAGAAAGGAAAGCTTGCTTTCCTATTTTTAATTTCAAAGCAAAAGCAGCTGAAAGGACTGTTTTTAATTTCAAAGCTAAAAAGCTTTTGTTTTGAGCCTTTGACTGATTCAATGAGTGTTGATGCCTTTTGCTTTTTGTATATATTATTATTATTGGATTCTAGCCTTATGCCAACAGTTTTTTATTAGAATAGTCTTTCATGATATTTAGATTATAATACATTGTTCTAGATATTATTGTGCTTTCATGATATTTAGCTATGTAAATTGGGAATACAATGTTCTAGATATTTAGATTATAATATTTTATGTATATGCTTTCATGATGCATTTTTTATTTCTTAAGTTAATATAAATTTTTCATGTATTAGTCTTTGTCTATACAATTGTACGATGAATTGACTTTTATTGTTTATATGTTTGTTAATTTAGGAAAATGAATCACCCTGATAATCATGTGAATGATAATGCTAATCTGGATGAGATTGTTGAAAATTATAATGCTCCGCTGTGGAAGTATGTCAAAAAGCTCGAAAAAGTGGGAAATAGAGGAGGAGGAAATACTAAATTTGAGTGCAATTATTGTCAAAAAACTTATAAAGGATCCTACTCTAGGGTCAAGTTTCATTTGTTAAAAATGTCTGGAAATGGGATCGCGCCTTGCAACAAGGTTACTTATGAAACTCTTGCGGAAATGAATAAGTTAGTTCGAGAGTGTGAATACAAGTTGAAGAGTTCTGCTCCTAAACATGTTTCGTTGCCCAATACTGGTTCATTCTGTTATGATCTACCTGAAGCAAATCTTGATCCAAAGAAGAGAAAGGGAACAAGTGGGCCTATCAGTAAAGCTTTTAACAAGGAGGCTCGAGATCAATGTGATGCCGAAGTTGCAAGGATGTTTTATACAGGTGGCTTATCATTTAACCTTGCAAGAAATCCGCACTATCGGAACTCATATGTTCGTGCTTCTACACTTCCAGGGTATGTCCCACCAGGTTACAACGCACTGAGAACTACTCTTCTGCAACAAGAGAAGAGTCACATTGAGCGGTGCCTCCAACCAATCAAGCGCACATGGAGCACTAAAGGTGTAAGTGTTTGCAGTGATGGGTGGACAGATGCTCAAAGGAGACCACTTATTAATATTATGGCAGCTTGTGAAAGTGGGCCAATGTTCTTGAGAGCAATTAATTGTGAAGGTGAATACAAAGACAAGCATTGTATTGCCAACTTTCTTACAGAAGCTATTAAAGAAATTGGTCATGAAAATGTTGTTCAAGTGATCACCGATAATGCTCCTGTTTGTAAAGCTGCTGGGTTACTTATTGAGGCCCACTATCCCCATATCTTTTGGACACCCTGTGTTGTTCACACTCTTAATCTTGCTTTGAAGAGTATATGTACTCCGAAACAAACAGAAGTTTCCTATGATGACTGCAATTGGATTTCAACTATTGCTAGTGATGCTTGGTCCATAAAAAATTTTATTATGAACCATAGCATGAGATTGTCAATGTTTAATGAACATTGCAAACTAAAGTTACTTTCCATTGCCGAAACAAGGTTTGTTTTCTCCACTTTTTTTTTTTTCTTTCCTTATTTAATTATAAGTTGTCCTAATTTTTAAATTTTTCAGATTTGCTTCCACACTTGTGATGCTTAGAAGATTGAAGGAAATAAAGGAAGGTTTACAACAAATGGTGATTAGCCTGAATTGGGCTTTGTACAAAGAAGATGATTTGGTTAAAGCAATGATGGTGAAGCAAAAGATATTGGATGAAGATTTTTGGGAGAAGATTGATTATATTCTTTTCTTTACAGCTCCAATATATGAGGTTATTAGAATGGCTGACACAGATAAACCTTGTCTTCACTTGGTGTATGAGTGGTGGGATGCTATGATTGAAAAGGTGAAAGCTGCTATATACAGGAATGAGCGCAAGGCATTACATGAAAAAAGCAGCTTTTTTGATGCGGTGTATCGCATTTTATTGGAGCGATGGACTAAAAGTAGCACACCACTTCATTGTTTGGCACATTCATTAAATCCAAGGTAATGATTTTGCTAACTTACTTATAAATTCTTCTAGATTAATTTTTAGCTTTATGAGTACATTTTTAAATTGTTATTTCTTTTATTTTAGGTATTATAGTTCAGAATGGCTCCAAGAAGACCCTAGTCGTCTTGCTCCACACCGAGATGTTGAACTTACAATTGAAAGGAAAAAGTGCTTTGAGAGATACTTTTCCAATGAGGAAATTAGAAGAAATATCAATGTGGAGTATGCCTCTTTCTCTATGTGCTTGAATGACTTTGGAGCTATTGATTCTATGAATGATAGATTTCATTTGGAACCAGTGATGTGGTGGATTGTCCATGGAGCTTCTACACCTAGTCTCCAATCCATAGCGTTGAAGCTACTTGGACAACCTTGTTCCTCCTCTTGTTGTGAAAGAAATTGGAGCACTTATAGTTTTATTCACTCTTTAAGAAGGAACAAGATTACACCACAAAGAGCTGAGGATTTGGTATTTGTGCATAATAATCTTCGTCTTTTATCAAGGAATAGCTCAACCTACAAGGAAGGTATTACCCAATTGTGGGATGTTGGAGGAGATGGCTTTGAAAACTTGGGTGAAGAAAGTGTCGGGATGCTTGAAATAGCTAACCTTTCACTTGATGAACCGTCATTGGAGACTACTTTAGTTACTGGAGGAGACATCATGAATGTGGAAGTTGAATGAGACTTTGCTTTTTTTAATTTTCGTTTGGATTTTCATTTTAATTTTTCAAGTTTGAAGACTAATTGCTTGTTGGATGGACTATCTTTCTAACTGTTAGGAGTTTATTGAAATAAATTTAAACTTGAGTAATAAATTTGAATGTTTATTTTATAATATTTTAGATATATTTATTTATTTATATATATTTTTAATTGCCGTATCCTTGACGTATCGTGTCTTCATTTTTAGAAATTTGACGTGTCCCCGTGTCGTATCGTGTCGTATCGCCGTATCCGTGTCCGTGTCCATGCATCCTAGCCTTCCTTCACCACCCCACTGAAGAAACCAAAAAAACCAAGCCCACACCCAGATCCCACACAAAAAAAAAAAAAAAACCCAAATCCACACCTAGATCCCCTTCCCTTCCTACACATCCATCACCCTCCTACACACCCAAATCCTCAATTCCCTCCCCACATTTCGATGCAACTCGTTGTCGCCACCCTGGGCTTCTAACCTCACCGCCTCCTTGCGCCAGCTCGTGCACGATTACACCTGGGACCCTGTGGGAAGGAGAAAGATGGCGAGTTGGTGAATGTTGGCCTCGACGCCGATGGTTGTAGAGAGAAGAGGGAGTTAGAGTGGGTGAGAGATGTGGGAGAAGATAAAGAGAAGAGAGAGAGAAGGGTTGGCGCAGATGTGAGAAAGGAAGGCCCGCATCCCTAGGCATTTTTTTATTTGTTTAGCTTTTAAATTTTAAATTTTTTTAATTTTTTGAATATTTAATTATTAAAAATATATTTTATTATTTTTTAATCTAGTTGGATTAGTGAGTGAGTCTCGTCTCTGGCCACGTTAGCTTTGACAGAGAAATTAACAGAAAATTTGACGAAGGTCTGACATTGACACAAATTCGTAAGATGAGGTACAACATTGTTACTTTTAAAATATGAAGTATGATAGTGTCGTTCAACTCATAATTAAAGTAGTTTTGTGTAATTTACCGTTATTATTATTATCTCAAGTAGACATAATTATACATATTTTGTTTAATTATTCCAGTGTTATTGAATGTAACAATTCATCAAATAATTGCGTGTCGTCTCATCGGTGGGATACAGAGCGATTCTTGTCATAATAATTGAATCCAACTCATGAGTCGTGGGACGCTCCGCATCATGTCGATGGTGGTGGGGCGATCGGTTGTCGTGATGGAACTTTGATTGTCATGCACAGCAGGCATTTCTTTCTTTATGTGCCTTATCAAGAAAATCAGAGCTAAATGACCCAAATTACTATATATGATTTGATGTACACATTACACCTTCAAAATTCAATCCGGATGCCTTGTCAATTTATCATTGCTACCACATGCATTTTTTTATAATTGACTTTTGGTGAGCAAAGAAGTAAACGAAAATTACTGAAAATGATTTGAAAATTTTAAATTTTAATTAAAATGATAAAAATGTGTTGTAGATGAATAATACCAGGAATGATTTTTTAGAATAAAAATATTTTTTTTGTTAAAAGTGAATAATACCGAGAGTGTTTTGTTAAAACTCTCTAGAAACAATCAAAAGTTGTTTAAAGATAAGCCAGCTTAAACAAAAAACATTTAAGTTTTGTACAAGATGTAGAAATGATTAATTTGGAAAGGGTCCTTCGTCGGATCCTGAGAATCTCATGATTGTAATCGTTCATCGTTCATCGTACATCGTGCAGTCAATTTTCGTTAGATACTATTTATATTTAATTTTAAAATTTAAAAAGAATGAAAAGGATAGGGCAATGCATCGGTGGCAATATCCAGATTTGACAACTGCAATTTCTACTAGCCGAAAACAATGAAATGGTCAATGCAAACATTACAGACAGATTCAAAAACAAAAATTGAAGCCAAGGAAAAACTTGAAAACCCACAAAAAACCGAAATCTTATAGGAGTCCTATCTTTCCATTGTTTTCCTTCTTCAAAATAAAAACAGTAAACTCTAATTTGAGTGCCTACACATATACATCGGATAAAAACGGAGAAAAAAATATCCAGAACAGCGGCAGAGATAACAAAAATGATAAAAAAAAAACCATAAATATTTTCAATCAAAAGTATAAGAATTAAACTGACTGGAAGCTCTGTAACCAGTTGCAAGTGGCTGCACCCTCGTTGGTGACCAATTGCAAAGTGGCCTTTTTGCCCAGCTTTGTAACCAATTGTAAAGTCGTCTTTTTGCCCAGTTCACATTAAATTTCATTTCAGTTATTTTCATAGAAAAACTAACGAAAAATAATTGAAAACTTTGAGTTTTAATGATAAGGACAAAATAAAAGGTAAAGTAAATAGTACCAGAATTAACTTTTTAATGTAAAAATATGATTTTTCATTAAAATGAACAGTATCAAGAACTTTTCGTTAAAATTCCCTATTTTCATTCGTATGTAAATATATTTGAATCGTTGATTGCTATATGAATTCTACAAAGCTACGAATGGAAGTTGGAGCTTTGGGAAGTTGATGTGGCATAATCGTCATATACCAATTGATTCATAAATCGTGACTATCCATCCAAACGAAAGCATCTATGTAAACTGCGGTATGGTAGATTTTTTATGTTCTCCAAATTCATTATCTGCAAAATATGCATCTGTCGAACAACATAAGTCTAACAATACAACATTATCTTAACGGGAAAAAAAAACTACAAAATTTGAACTTCGATCTAATAGTTATTCATTAATTTCTTTATATCATTTGAATAAGAAATTATTGCATAAAATGAATGAATCTAGTTCACCACATTAGTAATCGATTCTAATTTGGTCAACATGATCGAATATGTGTGTGTGTATATATCTATATGTATATATATGTGGCCATTGTATGCAAAGCCCTAACAGACCATCGTTCGCTTCCCATGTTTGTAGGGTACATGGTTCCACTTCAAGCATCATTAGACAAATTGGATGGCTTTAGTACGTCGTCGATCTCTAGCCTTATATCAACATTGTGGAGTGCGGAACCTTTATCCCAGAAAACCTCAATATGCAGATGAGATATAACATTTGAATCAAGCAATTCACGGATACAAAAATTACTTATAAAATAATTTTGAAAGTAAGTAAAAAAAATCTGTTGTATGCCTATTACTTTCGCCGGACCCAAAAAAGGTGGGAAAGGCCTGAAGTTGGCCAGAAAAAACTCGCATCTTCGTCGGAATGCCCATCGCAAACTGGGCTTATTGAACTCTTCGATAGAGGGGTAAATTCGAACATGCAAAGCTCGAATGTTGCTGTTAGGACTCTCTTGAGTCCGGGGAGAACTGCGAGAGGGAAGAGAGAGAAGGGATAAGGAAGAATTTAAAATAATAATAATAATAATAATAATAAAATTAACAGTGCATATGCGATCCAGGGCCATCATTGGAATATGGAAAAAACTGTGCACCCAGAACATAAGAAATACCTGCATAAAAGTATTAACACAAATGAATTATCTCATTTGAAGCTCATGTCATGCGCAGCAAGCCAAAACAAACAATTTGAAGTCAGACCAACCAAAACAAACAAATGTCAGTTACCATGGAAGATTATCACAAAATCGCAGGACCCAGACAATCTGAATAGAGTGGGTTCTACGGGGTGGAAGAAAGCACAAAAGCTATTGCCACGGTGGAGCAAATCGGGGAAGGCAGGGTAGAGAAAACTTTGAGTTTTCGGGCCAACGTGGAGCAACTTTGAGTTTCAGAGAGTATGGTGTCAATTTTTGAGTTACAAGGAGCAAAATAAAATTAAAATCAAGTACCAAAGGACATAGCTAAAAATAAGCCTAAAATTAATTTGACAATATTATAAGTAAGTTAAATAATACAAGTCTTTATAAACAAATGCAAAATTCTCTCTCCCTAGTCCCTAATGTGAAATTTTACTCTTGAACAATCCTGCAACATGAGTAAGGGCTGGTTTGGTATTGTTGTACTTTGAAAAAAAACGGTTTACTGCTGTACTGCAAGAATAAGCAGCTGTGAAATAAAGCAGCAAAGTGTTTGGTAAACTTTTTTTTGTAAAAGTGCTTTTGAAAAAAAAAAAAAAGCAGTATTATAGTGTTTGGTAAACTTTTATGTAAAACAGATGTAAAAAAAAGTCGGTTTTTAAAAGCTGGGTTTTGCAGCTTCTTGTTTTTGGCTTTTTTCACCCAAAACTATGAAAAAAAGTTGAAGCTGAATGTTTACCAAACACAAAAATAGCTCCCAGCTTTTTTTGATACCAGTTTTTTTCAAAATCACCTCAGTACCAAATCAGCCTAAGAGTAGACTCGGCTTCTCTGTCCTCCCAGTTCCTATACACTTTCATTCTCTTCTATTTTGTCCAGTCACGGTTAAGTCACGTCAACATTTTATACTTATTTTTTTTTATAGAGATAATAAGATAAAAAGAAATAGTGTTATAAAATATTGACGTAACTTAATCGTAACTACACAAATAAGAAGGGATGAAAGTATATGAGAACTAAGAAGGCAAAGAAACCAGGTCCAGGACGAGTAGCCATATGCTTACGCTGTAAAGTGATTTATCTGATGTTGAAACTAGGGTGAAAACATGCGAGCATGATCATGACAGCTATTCCGATGACTGAATTGGAGGGAAATAGGACGCTATGTTTGAGGTGACATGTACAGAGAAAATACATGAAAACTGCAAAGTTTTACTCCACCGTTGCTTTCCAAATTTAGCTAGCTAGCTTATCCATTTCACCGATCGAATTGTTGCATCACCGTCATCAACACACGTGCACACTCTGAAATTTTGTCCTTGTGAGTTCAGAGGAGAGGATGAATATCTTATCAGTTAGCAAATTTTTTATTTAAAGTGTTATTTGTTAACTTATTTGATAAAAATATTATTTTATTATATTTTTTAAAGAGATTATATTCACATCTCAAATTACTTTTCTCATATTTTTTTAATTTTTTAATATTTTTCTATTGAGTGCTAGTTGTGTGTCAAAAAATATTAAAAAGATAAAAAAGTGTGAAGAAGGTAATTTGAAGTGCGTAAAACTGCAAATATAATCTCTCTTTTTCATATTATATTTAAATCACTTAACTAATAAAAATAGGTCTCATATGTGTTTTTGAGTCTTACATTTTTTAGACATGAGATTCACAAATATAACATTATTCCTACATTTGTCATTTGTACATTACACTTCAGGCAAATCTTAGCTATTCAATTTATCAAATAAAGTGAATCAGTTTACGTCTTATTAGAACAAATACATGTTTGCACCTTAGCACTAATATCTATATGGGGTCTACTTTTTCGCTGTCGTCCCAACTTCTGTTCCCGCAAATTGAGCGAAAACTTCAATTGCTTTTCATAAATGGATTGAGAATTCAATTCCAAAAGTTAATATAAGTAAGAAAATGGGTGCCTTTTCCTCCGATTTTGTTAATCATTTTTTGCTCTCCTACTGGATCCCAGTGAAACACATAATTAGTAGGATTAACTGATATTAGTCAACCTTTCACCCATCCATCATAAGAAACCTCACAGCATCCATGTGAAGTTCTCTTTGTGATCTTACGGAAGAGAGGGAGAAGACGGCAAGAGAGATGGGTGAGAAGAAAGGCATAGAGACGCAGATCGAGTGATATGGTGTGAAGGCGATGTCAATATAAATCCGATGTGGATGGATTAGATTAATCAAATGATCAAGATTAGTCTAAATTCACGCAAATGCACTAGTAATAAATGTAGAGACTCGAGATTCGGAGATGAGCTCATTCTCTACTTGTAAATAATGTATCTTCATCGTAGAAATTTCATAATCAATTGGAACTATTAAGTTTCTTAATTTTCTTTTGTAGATTATCCTTACAAAAAATTAATTGAATCAATAATTGTTTAGTCATCAAAGTACATTAAATAAATGGATGATTCGTCGTTAATATGTTATATAGTGTTGATTTACTTGATACATTTGGATAATTAAACGATCACTGATTCAAATAGTTTTTTGTAAGAATAATGTTCAAATAAAAATTAAGAAATTGAACGAATATTTTTACAATAAAAATATGTCATTTACAAGTAAATGTAATAACTTATTCACCACCCAAGAGGAAAATGCAAGTATTATTCATAAGAATATATTTCTTAACACGATAATAGTGAGTCTTGTTTGGGAATGAGCTGATGGATGACCAATTAATTGTTAACACGATAATCATATGATAATTACTAACAAGTCTTGTGTGAGAAACGCCATGTGAATTTGAAAGAGAAATAAGGCCAAATAATTACGCACGGGACAACTAGGTACTAGTGTCCAACTCTTGCATTATTTAAATAAAATGAGTTTTAATGAAAAGTTCGCGGTACTGTTTACTTTAATGAAAAATCATATTTTTATATCAAAAAATCAAATATAGTATTATTCACTTTACTCTTTATTTTGTCCTTATCGTTAAAACTCAAAATTTTCACATCATTTTTTATTAGTTTCCTTTAAATGAATTAGCTCATTCACCACCCACGAGGAAAATGCAATTATTATTCATTTGGGGATGAGTTGATGCATGACCAATTAATTGTTAACACGACTTTCATATGATAATTACTAACTCGTCTTGTTTGAGAAATGCCATGTGAATTTGAAAGAGAAATAAGGCCAAATAATTACGTACGGGACCACTAGGTAGGCCCTAGTGTCCCATCAACTCAATGCATCATTACGTCGTACTATCATTTGAAGGGACAGCCAAAGTAACTATCTCTTCCCGTGTTAATTGCTTGCTCTGTTCAAGCTACCACAGTAGTAGCTAGATCCAAGGATATGTACCGTGAATGTCATATAAAGATGAAAACTAATATCTATCTGGGAGTCTACTTTCTCGCTGTCCTCCCAACTTCTGTCGCAAATTGAACGAAAACTTCAATTGCTTTTCATAAATGGATTGAGAATTCAATTCCAAAAGTTAATATAAGTAAGAAAATGGGTGCCTTTTTCCTCCGATTTTGTTAATCATTTTTTGTTCTCCTACTGGATCCCAGTGAAACACATAATTAGTAGGATTAACTGATATTAATCAACCTTTCACCCATCCATTATAAGAAACCTCACAGCATCCATGTGAAGTTCTCTTTGTGATCTTACAGAGAGGGGGGAAGACGGCAAGAGAAGGGTGAGGAGAAAGGCATAGAGACGCAGAGTGATATGGTGTGAAGGCGATGTCAATATAAATCTGATGTGGATGGATTAGATTAATCAAATGATCAAGATTTGTCTAAATTCATCTAAATGCACCAATAATAAATGTAGAGACTTGAGATTCGGAGATGAGCACATAATTTTTTTTTACTTTTCATATATCTTTATTAATTTATATTCTTTGATCTTTTATAATTCATTGATGATGAAAATTAAAAAAATGTGTAAAAATTAAAAATAAAAGTGTGAATAGGCACATTTCTTTTAAAAGACAGCCAAAGTAACTTTCTCTAGTTTCCAAAAAATAAAAAATAACTTTCTCTTCACGTGTTAATTGCTTACTTTGTTCCAGCTAACCGCACTCGTAGCTAGATCCAAAGATATGTACTATGTTCAATAATAATCAAAACCATACCACAGTCGTCGCTAGCTAGATCCAAAGACATTTACTGTGAATGTCATATAAAGATGAAAGCTAAAACGTGCATGCATTAACCACTAAATAATTGATCCTCGGATTCTTTTCCTTGGAATTTCAAAGATCGTGTAATCATGTTTGTTCATTGTATATTAGGCAGTTAGAAATCATTTAAATTTAAAATTAAATATAAATAGTACCTTACAAAAAATGACTGCATGATGTACGATAAATAAGTATGATTACACGATCCCCTAAATCTCCGGATCCTTTTCCCATTGGAAGTACTTGTGGCGTGCTTATTGTAATCGGAATTAAAACAAGGAGTTGAATTCCAATTACGAAGTATTGAAGTGGTAAGTTTACCAATCTTGGGGAATCAAAAGAATTGTGGTGTCCACACGAAATAAGAAAGCAACTCCACCCTTAAAAAATAAGCTGACCTAAAGTTCATTTAATTCATCAAAATGAATAGCAATTGACTGCAATGAATAATAATTGGTTAAGTGCATTTCTACCCTTAAAACTAAATAGCCTAATTCATTTTATTAAAATATTATTAATTTTCATTATAAAATAATTATAAAATAATAATTTTATTTTTAATATCTGACATTTTTTATTTAAAAAAATATTATTAATTTTGAACATTTTATTTATTAATTAATTTTTTTTTAAGTTTTTTGGTTGAAAAATTTAGATTGTTAATCTGAAAATCGAGCGGTTCAGATTGTGCCACGTCACTAGCTTATTAGGTTTGAATTTCAAATTTTTTTTACTGTTGGAAATCCAATGGCCGAGGCTTAGCCACGTGGCCCATGTCCCCCGCCCCTTTAGTGCTCCTGCAGTGCCGGGACGCGTGCCATGCACCTGATGCAAAAAAATTGTGTTGTCTGCTAACGTTATGCTGGCATCAGAATGACACCAGATAGGCCAGTTCCTACCTTAGCCCATTTTGGGCTCGCTTATAAACTGGCTTGGATTTTGGGCTGCCCTATTTTTAGGGGTGGAGAGATTTTTGTGGGTGCCAGCCTGAAAGATAGGGCTGGACTTGCTCTTACAAATGGTAAAAAGGATCATTGCATGATGCTTTTTCTGAAGATGCTAAGAATCTTATGATTGTGATCGTTCATCGTATATTTTTCTCTCCCACTCTCTCTCTTCCCCCTAATTATCTCTATAAATGCATGAACTCTAAAAGCTATTCTAGCAAATTATAAGCT